CATTGGTACCTAGTCGAGCGTTCTCTGAGATTTGTTTTCATGATAATTGAATGTAAAGAGTTTTATCTCTAAAAACTGTTTAGCCTATACGCTAGTATATGGGGGCATATAATAAGTAAAGAGAAGTCGCTAGTTAATACCGCTAACAAGGCTCAAAATAGCCCCACACTAACACAGTAACATAATGAGGGTCCCTATATGCAAAACGAAGCATTGAGAACTTTGTAAGTGTACAGACCGTTTATTAAGAAGCTATTTTATAAAGACAGTCCACTTCGTGTATACAGGCAGCAGCCATCTTAGGAAAACAGTCTCGAAAAGTCGAACCACGAACGACGTGCCAAGTTAGTGTTAGTGTGGGGCTATTTTGAGCCTTGTTGGTGGTATAAACTAGCGATTTCTTTTTACTTATTATATGCCCCCATATACTGTACTAGCGTGTATGCTAAACAGTTTTTAAAGATAAAACTCTTTACATTCGGTTATCATGAAAACAAATCTCAAAGAACAGTCGACTAGGCACCGATGTGTAATTAGACCAAAGGTTCATTTTGCGCCGAAGTTCTCCTTTAACACTGGGGAAGCACAGATGTCAGTCATCAAAGTATTTTGAGAGTATAGGGACTCGATTACGTCCTTCGCAGTGCTTCATGGGATTGAGCGGAGCTAACCAGATCTTTTGGTGCGTTTTGCTAGTTTCGACTCTCTGATTGGTGGAATTTTATGTACAGCCTCATGGGTAATGTAATTTTTCACCACAAACTCTGCTGTTAAACGATTTTTTTAAAACTAACTAGTTTAAAACTAACTAGTTTCCGATAGAAGCAAATACCATCGATTAACAACTTCATAGTTACCCGATAAGGTTGTCTTTAAAGGTTTATAAGTTATCGTTAAAACATAATTTGAAAGTGAATAGAGTTTTTACTTCCGGAACTGACTGTTGCACTCTATAGCCTTAAAGTCATCACCACTGGTACATTGCTGTAAAATTACAGGAAGAGAAACCATGCAGGAAAAAACAGATAAATCACAGGGCTTTCCACAAATCACCAGGCTGGGAGTAAGTGAGAATGTGCTTACTAAGTAGACTATAAAAACAGCAAATGATAATGTCCCATCATTCTCAGTATGATGCATTAATTTTATAATCCCTCAGTGAGCTGTATCGACCGCAGTGGCTGTCATTCGGCGTGTGAGGTTCCTCCAGTGAGCAAGGAAAACGTGCCGTGACTGAAACGGCATGCCATTATGCAAAATAATAAGTTCTTCATAATTGCTTCCACTCAAACAATAAAAAATGTCACAATAAATAAATCTCATCAGCCTAATGGTCTGTCGCATGGGCTGACAGGGTCAAGACAAATGAACAAAACGCGCCAGGAACAGATATAATGGATTAGAGGGTGTTTGGTTACTTATTTTTTTTTAATGAATTTATATATTTTTTTTATTAAAAATACATATTTTTAAACTTAAACATACTCAAATTGCAAGAGCAAACTAAAAAATAATCAAAATGACCCAAAAAACAGGGTCAGTCAAATTGACAGTTCAAGTGCTATCCGAACGTGATCCGATCACTGAAAACGTAAGCTAATGCTAGGTAAAGGGGTCATTTGAAGGCTTGTCTTTACCTTGAAATCCTTGCTCATTGAGACATTCTTAAATTGCCGTGCTTGCCGCTGCTAAAATCTGGATTACAAGCCCCTCCCTGGATTACGAACAGAGTATTTGAGTCTTAAAGAAATCCTAATCCCAGAGCTGTCACGCATGGAGTCACAAGTGTGTGTTTAAAAGAGAGCATGTACTGTATGTTTTGTTTTTGAAACTACAACACATTTACCATTTAGCATTAGCGGTTCCACTTTAAAAGATCTCAGATGCAACATTTTAAAACCTTAAATTTGGTCTTCTTTGCCGTCAGATATCAGACACCACTTCTAAATGATCTTTGACCTGCCTTGATCATTTTTTCTTTTTACCCAGTGAAGTTTTTTTTCATGATTTTGGAGGAAACATGGATGTTATGCAACCGGTGTTAATTTGACTAGCTTCTCCCAAGTCACAGATGAATTTGCGCTAAAGTGTCACAGAGTTGGACACAGTCTTTTACGTCAACAACAAAAGTTTCGGGACATGTTTTCTCCTCACTTATGATTAGCACACTTATTTTGCTTCTCTAACAACCCAATGACAATTTGGTTGTGTTGTATTATTAGCATTTAGCATTGTTAGCATTGTTTTGTACCAAAACAGACCTCCATTTTTGAGTTGCGGAACACGCAAACACGGTAATAAGAAAAACATGTTTTGCTAACATTTCCTGTAGCTAATGGGAGGTTTTGGGTTAGGGTTGCCAACTTTCCCGTATTAGCCGGGACGTCCTGTATATTGGTCTAATTGTGACCTCCCTTGTCCTTGTTTATTGACTGCTACGCTGATCTAACCACTGACTGATACAACAGCAACACAACACTTGAGAATGATCACGACACCGGTCATCAACCAATCCCCACACTCATGTGCGTTAGACCATACGAATAACAAACAAAATTGAGAATTAATCATTCTTTTGGGACAAATCATTGTTTTATTTGCGAATCCTCCCAGTTCAATCCAGACTTGCGCTAACGGCAAAGACTCTTGTACCTTATTGCTTGTTGGCAACCCTACTTTGGGTAGTAGCTGCCTGTTCATGGTGATCAAACTAAACCTCAGCCCATCTCTTGTAATATTTACATGCATAGCATGTCCCGAACATCACGCTTTCACCTTTAATTGAGTCTGACAGGCATTCTTCGTCATTGGATCCAAATACAAGGAGGCACTTAATGAGAATGGTAAAGAACAGATAATTCACCCAATGTCAAGACCCTAAAGAGATTACCTGACTAATACAGTCAACTGAGGATGACGTCAAAACCTTCCCTGAAGCCTAATGTGATATGTTGATATCCCTATTGTTAGGACACAAGATAAAAGATAAAAGGTTTCATTTACTAACCATGTATACCGAACAATTTCAAGAACAAATCACCATTCATCAATAACTTTCATACTTATTCTTAATTTACAGGAAAAAACAAGTATGGAAACTCTGGGACGACTTACAAGCGTTAAGATGAATTTTAAGAATTTTAAATTTTATACATGATTATTTCATCTTAAATATAGTTCGTCATACACAATAATAGAGTGAGAAAAGTTGCATTAGGCTCAAGCTGTCAGGTGGTTGAACTGGTTTTAGTGGGAAAAAGGAAAAAAATAGTGTGGAAAGCCCATAAATGGAGATGGGCGTGTTTATGCAAATCACCTCAAAACCATAACATGTTGTGAATTAGGTAAAAAAAATATTTTAGGCGATGCTCTCCTGTGCTTGTAAATATGTATTATTCGTGCCATATTTAGTGAATGAGACCCAAATTTCTTAAAAATCACAGAACATGCACATACATGATATAGACCATTTTGCAAGATGTAAACAAAACTGGTTCAGAAGCACTTCCTGCTTCAGTTTTTTAACACTACATAAAAGCTGGGATAAAATACAACCAACAGAACATATAAAACTGAATCAAAAAGTTAAACAAACATCTTTACGTTTTTTTTTCTTTACAACAGAAAACAGTTACAAACTGAAACAGGAAGTGTTTCCGGACCAGTGTTGTTTACATCTTGCAAAATGGTCTATATTTTCAATCTCGCTCATGGAAATCTTGTTCAATCCCCGAGACAACACACATTTCACAGCACTCTGTGTCTCTGCCACTCGAGCAGTATAATGTTCCTCGAACAAAGAAGCTGACAGCGATAATAATCACATCTCCGTCTTCATCACTCACTCCTCTCTTCCCTTTCACCAGCGTGTTGCCAGCGAGATAACCTGACAGCAAATTGGCTGACGCAAAAAAACACGCAATTAATATTGGCAGAGCAAAGTGGCTGAAGGAACGCTGGGCGCTACTGTGAATTATTCACAACACTGTGAATAACACGAGCAGGCTGGTGAAGAGTAATCACAAATGGAGCCATTTCATGTACTTAATCAGCTAGAGGTGCTAACAGCATAGCTTAAACAATGATCCTTTGCTGGATTTGTTTTCAGCTAGCAAATGTGTCCGTTTTTTTTCTTTTGTAGTTGTGGAGAGTAAGAATTAATCAGGGATTTATGTAAGGCAAGAGTTTCATCGACATACAACATCAACATGTCAGGGTTTATAGCTAATGCGATGCTAATTCAATGCTAATGCTACATGACAGGTTGAGTATATGATTGCTACATATTATGGTGGTTAATCAACTGTTAAAAGGGTAGATTTAGTTGACAATCAAGTGGAATTTTGGGTTTAAATTCAACTGTCACTTCTTTGTTTTGAGGCATAGCTACAGCATGTTAGCGCATAGCGAAAACAATGCTAAGACTAAGGCTTAGTTTCTCAGGGAATGTAAGAACTGATCAAATTAAATGAAATGGATGTTGCTTTGGATTTTACATAAATGTAAATGTCACTGCGTAGAAGCTAGCAAAGAACCTAGTTTTAAAGATAAATTTAATTTAGACAGTCAAAAGGTTTGAATAATTAAGATTTGTTAATGGTTTTGAAAGAAGATTTGAAAAATGTACTAAAACTGGAAACTGTTCTTTTAAAAATGTAATAATATTTCACAGTATTACACACTATTAAATTCAGCCTTGAGCAGAGAAGAATTCTTTGAAAAACATTAAAAATGGTAATTGTTCTAAACTTTTTAATATATATAATATATATTATGCAAGGGAATTAAATATCAGGTCAATTAAATATTAATGCATTATTAAATGTTGAAATTAATATTAGCTGAGATTAAAAAAAAAGAAGCTTTGAAGCATTTTTCAATGTTAATTGTAACTAGTTAACAAATAGAACCTTATTGAAAAATGTATTTATTCTGTGTATTCTTTCTATGTATTTTATCGTGAAGAAATGTCTACGTTTATCCTCCACACTTTTTTTTAGGACACAAGCGTCCTAAAAGTGTCCTTTTTTTGTTGAGCTGAATCTCAGGAATGATTCTCAAAGAACTACACTTCCCAGAGTGCACCAGCACTTGATCAGTCATTGTCATGGAGCACCTGAAAAGACATGGAGGTTCTTAGTCATTCAGAGAAACAAACTTCAGAGAGAAGACACTCCAAAGATGCCAATGGTTGGTGAAATGCTTTATGTACTTTCATGGTGTTTGAAATGCTGCTTAATATGTTTGAGCTATGTTCAACTGCTGTGTAGATTGATGAAGGAACACATTGCAACATTGTCTTTGTGTTAAATGGGTTTGTACTAAAATAATATTTTATTTTGAGTTAATAATTAACATGATAAGATACAAAAGGATGGTACAAAGTTAAAACTTTACAACCCCCTCAAATTTTTCACATTTTTTGAACAAAAACTAGTCTTTAAAAGTTTACACAACCCAATTTGCTGAACAGACCAATCAAGCCACAAGAAAATTAAACGTGATTTGAGTTTGAAATATAAGTTGTCCTTTAGAAGTTTAACAAAAGTAGGACTTGACAATACTTTTCAGAGATCTTGATGTGCACAACTTTTACAAGCGCCCGAACAAAAGAAGGCTTGTCAGTGGTTCCAGGTGCTGCGTGTACCGCCGAGTGCAGGTGTGCTTTTATTCGCGATCAGTGGCTGGGCAAGAGGGTGTAAGATCTGATCAGATCTGCATGATCTCGACTCTAACAAGCCTCACGGTGCACTGCAGATCCCCGCTGAGAAACACCCCCGCGCATCAAAAGAACAATCAGTGGGCCAGAGGGAGAGAAGCTGTGTGGGAGAAGGTGTAATTATGCTCAGATAATCACGAGTCCACAATTCATCTGCCAAAACATGAGCATTCGCAACAAATCTCTTGGTGCTGTGTGTATTAGCACAAGCTGAAACTACTAAAACTAGATTGTAAAAAATTAAATGTTCAGTACAGACAACAAGAAATGGAACTATACTTTTGTTGATGCAATATAATGTAACCAGGTGGATGTGGTCACATTACAGTAAATGACTACTTTAAAATACATTATTAGTTTACATTACAGAATGTAACATTATAATGTAACAATAAATGATAAATCACATTTGAGATTTGTGCTGGCTACTGTATACAGGCCATCAGGTGACCATACTTATCAAAGAATTTGCTGACTTTCTATCAGAGTTATTCACTGCAGAAAAAGTCCTAATTGTTGGTGATTGTATTATACATGTAGATAACCAAAAAGATGGCTATTGGAGTTAGACAACACGTGTCAGGACCTACTCATTGTCGTAATCATATATTATCGCATGGAATCAGTGTTGATGTCTTTGAAATTCTGCAGCAAAGCGATGACATCTCAGATCATTATCTAGTCTCGTGTGAACTTCATTTAGCCAAGGGTGCAAAGCCAAATCCATGTTACAAATATGTTAGACCTATCAATTTTGCCACTAAAGATTGCTTTAATAATAATCTTTCTGATCAGTTTCATCTCAGCATCCCAGATAGCTTAGAAGAACTCGATATTGCGACTGAAGCAAAACTAGAAGTATTTCGCATTTCATGGAAGGATGGCTCGATTGCATGGAGAGGTCTTAAAAGCTGCTAGATCTGCTTGTTTTTCAACCCTCAGAAGAAAGTAAACAAAACCCTGTTGGTATTTATTTGAAACATTAGCTAAACTAACGAAAAATAAAGCTTCAAGCCCAGAAGTTTCCAAGCAGCACAGCAGACTTGAACTTCTTCGCTTATAAGATTGATAATATCAGGAACAAATCGCATCAGGGAGAGCATTGTAGTCTCTCTAAGGATAAATTCGATTCATTCGTTACTATAGGGGAGGAAGAATTTTTTTAAACTTGTTAAATCATCTAAATCAACCAACTAAGCTAATGAAAGAGATGCTTCCAGAGGTCAAAGATCCTCTTCTTAATATCATTATTTCATCTTTGTCATTAAGATTCGTACCAAAAAGTTAAGCTGGCTATGATTAATCCGCTTGTTAAAAAAACATAACTTAATCCTACAGAATTTGCCAATTACAGGCTGATCTCGAATCTGCCTTTTCTGTCAAAGATACTAGAAAAGGCAGTGTCTTCACAACTATGTTCCTTTTTAGAAAGAAATTATATCTGCGAGGATTTTCAGTCAGGATTTAGACCATACCATAGTACTGAGACAGCTCTCATTAGTCACAAATGATTCGCTCTTATCATCCGATCGTGGTTGTATCTCTCTATTAGTGTTGCTCGATCTTAGTGCTGCCTTTGATACCATCGACCACAGCATTCTTTTAAATAGACTTGAAAATTATGTTGGCATTAGTGGGAATGGTTTAAAACATAATTATCTAACCGTTATCAGTTTGTAGCTGTAAATGAAGAGATGTCTTATCGATCTCAAGTTCAGTATGGTGTACCACAAGGCTCAGTACTTGGACCTCTGCTATTCACTCTGTACATGCTACCATTATGATATATCATTAGGACGCATGGCATAAGTTTTCACTGTTATGCTGATGATCTATATTTCTTCAAAATCTAACGAAACTTACCAATTCACAAAATTAATGTAATGCATAGCTGATTTAAAAAAAAAATGGATGACTAGCAACTTCCTTCTGAAAAAACAGAGATTCTAATTATTGGACAAAAGACTTCCTCACGTAATAGCCTAGAATACTGTCTAACACTTGATGGCTGCTCTGTCAAGTCTAGGTCGTCGGTTAGGAACGTGGGTGTGCTCTTTGATACCATTTCATTTGAAAGTCACGTGTCTAAAATCTGTAAAATCGAATTTTTTCATCTTAAAAATATTTCTAAATTGCGTCATATGCTCTCAATGAAAAATGCAGAACAATTAGTTCATGCGGTAATGACATCATGGCTAGATTATTGTCTATTATGGGTGGTTGCCCTGCACGCTTAATAAACAAACTACAGCTGGTCCAAAATGCAGCAGCTCGAGTTCTTACCAGAACCAGGAAGCATGACCCGGGTTCTGTCAACACTGAAATATTAAATGTAAAAATTATTAACAGTTTTCAATTTTGAATAATAAAATCAGTTCAAACTACGCAATATAATCTAAACGAACGAAGCCACATTTTTGAAGCCACAAGTTGATACAGTAAATATTATTTTTGAATTGAATAAAATATATAAATTTTTGTCATATGCAGTGTATTTTGAATTTTTTGTTTGCATGGAAATGTATATTACATACAGTACATATATTTATGCATATGAATATTCATGAGTGATATTCAAATGATATATGTATTTATAATTGTAAATCATTATGATAACAAAAATGTATCTGGTAATTCATGCCTAATAATTCCATAATTTGTGAGGAATTACCACTGGATTAAAATGTGTGACACTCGTGCAAACAGAAATTAGATGCGTAAAACTAATTAACGACGTCAAATGAGCGAATTTGATGGTCACTCTCCACTGAACGACTGTATTAATGAATTTGCGTGTGCGAACGGCTTTGATATATGCGAAAAGCTTAACCCCCTGTCTGATTGGGGGTTGGATGTGTGTGTGTGTGTCAGTGTGGCTAAGAACATGGGTGTGTGCCTCTTTCATTTCACACAAGGCTCATGGGTGTGTGCCTCGCTCTATAGAAGAACAGCAAACATGAGCCAGCCCTGAGGTCTGAAACCAGGCTACAGGTTACAAACAGCACTAATTCGTTGATACTTGGATCTTACTTTCAAAACCTGAAAATAAATCTGTTAAATAACAAAGTTACGATCGCGAATAACCGCGAGGTCGCACACATCCCCACCCGACTCCCATCTTCACGGCCTACTTGAGGGAAATGTGAGATTGTAATTGTTTCGAGTGTCCGCAGGGCTCAAAGTGTCACGTAGTCCCCTCCGTTGAACAATACGCTGCTTCTGTGTTTGTAAAAATGGGAGACACACAAGTTGCGTCTGTAATTCAAGACGGCAACATTCAGCTCTGGTTCCTCTCTGACCTTTAGGTGATGCTTTATGATCAGCTCTTTCTAATACATGCTAAAACAAAACGAGGCGGAAATCTCAAACCCTCCAACTCAGATTCCCCACTGTGGGTATCACTGTCACACCAGTTAAAGACTCTTTAACGACTCTGTCGCTGGCTGCGTCTGATACTTCACTACTATATAGTAGCCTATGTGAAAAACTACAACAGACTAGTGTGTGTGCGAATACATAGTTTTCGAATAACAGATGGTGAAAAGTTCCTAGATGACCTACTACCGAGCTTCTGAACTGTGCATTCGATGGACACTTTTCTATCCTATGAGGCCACAGAAGAAGATTTATGAATTGTGGAGAAGCGATGCAACTGACGTCATAGGTCACATAGCAGTGACAACATGGTGGATGTAGTGCATCTAAATTTCATTGAAACCACACACAGTCATGTAATTTTTTAATGGTCGTGAAGTAAGTTTCAAAACGAATGTACTGCCTACTATACAGTATGCGTTTTCGGACACATTGTGTAACTAACCAGAATGTCAGTTTAACATTTAAACAACATTGTGTTACCATTACATATAATATATAACATACAAATCGATTAATCGCAATTAATCGCATGTAACATAAAAGTTTGTTTACATAATATGTATACATATTGTTAAATAGTGTATATATTATTAAATGTGTGTAAACACACAATGTATATAAAATGAATAATATATACACACATATATTATGTAAGCAAACTTTTTAGATACGATTATTCGCAATTGATCAATTTGACTCACAATTAAAACTCAACATGAAATGTTGTTTGCAACTTATTTTAAGTCTGTAACATGACATATTTCTAAGAATTCAGTCAAATAAGGAAAATTAGGTCACATAGCAGTGACAACATGGCGGATGTAGTGCATCTAAATCTCATTAATACCACACACAGTCATACTATATAGAATGTACTTTTTTTAATGGTCGTGAAGTAAGTTTCAATCCGAATGTACTGCCTACAGTATGCGTTTTCAGACACATTGTGTAACTAAACAGAATGTCAGTTTAATGTTTAAACAACATTGTGTTACCATTACATATAATATATAACATACAAATCGATTAATCGCATGTAACATAAAAGTTTGTTTACATAATATGTATACATATTGTTAAATAGTGTATATAAATTATTAAATGTGTGTAAACACACAAAATATATATGTATATATATATAAAACTAATAATATACACACATATATTATGTAAACAAACTTTTTAGATGCGATTATTCGCGATTAATCAATTTGACTCACTATTAAAACTCAATATGAAATGTTGTTTGCAACTTATTTTAAGTCTGTAACATGACATTTTTCTAAGAGTTGAGTCAAATAAGGAAAATTAGGTCACATAGCAGTGACAACATGGCGGATGTAGTGCATCTAAATTTCATTAATACCACACACGGTCATACTATGTAGAATGTACTTTTTTTAATGGTCGTGAAGTAAGTTTCAAACTGAATGTACTGCCTACTACATTATGTGTTTTCGGAAACATTGTGTAACTAAACAGAATGTCAGTTTAACATTTAAACAACATTACATATATTATGTAACATACAAATAGATTAATCGCAATTAATCGCATGTAACATAAAAGTTTGTTTACATAAAATGTATACATATTGTTAAATAGTGTATATATATATATATTTTATTAAATGTGTGTAAACACACAATATATATAAAATGAATAATATACACACATATATTATGTAAACAAACTTGTTAGATGCGATTATTCGCGATTAATCAATTTGACTCACTATTAAAACTCAACATGAAATGTAGATTGCAACTTATTTTAAGTTTGTAATGTGACATATTTCTAAAAGTTGAGTCAAATAAGGAATATTCTGTCATCATTTACATTCAAAACCAGACTTTCTTCTGTGGAACACAAAAGGAGATGTTTTGAAAAATGTTCACGCTGCACTCTTCTATACAATGAAAGTGAATGGGGACTGAGGCTGTCAAGCTCATAAAACATCAAAAGTAATCCAAATGACTTATTCCAAGTCTTCTGGAACAAACTAACATTTACGAGGTTCTTCACAGAAAATCCTGCTTGAGAGCCGTAGCCCCCATTCACTTCCATTGTGCTTTAAATATCTCCTTTTTTGGTGGAAATACAGCCTAAATTATAAACAACACAACTTAAGTCATTTATATTTAGCCACCAACTTATAATGCATCTCATTTAAATAAACACGAACGCTTCAAGCAGACAAACACGACCCCTTTAAAGCTTTTAAACGAACAACTTATTCGACGGTTTGAACAATGAATAAAAGATGTTGAGACGGTCTCAAACGAGACGGTGGTGGGCGGCCGGCACTTGCTACGTTTTCCTCATCTCCCCCTTCTGTCATTGAGACCGCAGGCGATGACCTTGAGAATTTCCTCTCGGCCAATAGGAACTCTTTGTTTCTCCCAGCCTCTCAAATCTGCTGAGGATGCCAATGTATAATGCTTCAAATACACTTATTACTGAAGGCGGCTGCCGAGGCGGTGTTGCGTTGATGTTTGTGTGTACAGTAGGTGTTTTGTTTGTGTGTGTGTGGAATACAAGAGGCGGCAGGATATATATTGTACGGATATATTTTCATCCTCTCATAGAAAAAGTGCATTATGAATATTGGCAATGTTTCCTTCCTGGTTTGAGCTTTATTTACAAGTGTTTATGTGTGTGAGTGAGACACATGTGCAATCATTTATCTCCTTTAGCTTCTTGGGCACACGGCACAATTAGACATATGCATCCCAAAGGAATTCTGGGAGCACATCATGCACTGATATAATCGCATGTTTTACCGAACTGATTTGTGACATATCACCGGTTATAATGTGCAACCTGTTATCAAAAAGATGGCTGTGTCATAAATATTGATGGCAGATTTCATACGACCCAGCATGCATGGGACAGATTCACAACCTGCCAACATTTTTTTTTTTTTGCCCCTAATGGGAACATTAAAAATCCCTGGCTTCAGCTACGACGAGTCACTTGCTGACTGCACGGATTTCTGCCGCTGCCTGTTATTTGGAAATGACAAAGAAAATCATGAGACTCGCTCATCAAATGCCACGATTTACTGACCTCACTGCCCTGTGTGTATCTAATAACACCAACAACACTAATTAATACCACAAATTGCAATTACAGTGAGGTTTTCTTTACTCCTAGACTGCAACCCTGGGGAAAACCTACGAATCTGGTAGTCACCGTGTTCATCGTAACATGACCTATAGGGACCGCATGCTGTTGGAGATGAGCTCCAGCACACCACATGGGGATCCACACATCAGGTGGGTGTCTAATACTGATGAATGAAACGAAAGGTCATTTTTAATGGGGAAGACGCTCGTGATCAACATTGTGCCAGGTGTAGCCTTGTTTCACAGTTACACTTTCGTCTATTGTTCTGTTCGGTGGGGCGAGTAGAGCTTTTGTCTGGGACCCTCCATCTGTTCATGTGAACTTGACAATAAGAACAAGCACCTCGCCTAACATTAAGGAGCGTGTCAGGTGGAGAGACAGAAACATAGCCTAGATAGATAGATAGATAGATAGATAGATAGATAGATAGATAGATAGATAGATAGATAGATAGATAGATAGATAGATAGATAGATAGATAGATAGATAGATAGATAGATAGATAGATAGATAGATAGATAGATAGATAGACTACTTAATTATTCCCGTGAGTGTCGTCTATAAACATAGTCAACGCACACAGAGAATGTCAGTGTTGAATATTATATGAATGAGACAGTACTATACCTGTTCCAATGACCCCAGTCACTGATAAGTCATACCTGATATCTCGGACTGCGGGACGCCGTTTAACGTGAAGCCTTTGCCGATGTAGAAGTTGCGCACGTCCGTGCAGCTCTGCGCTTTACCGCCCGCGTTATCCGCAGACAGAGACACGGAGACGAGCGACACGAGCAGCGCGACCGCTGTCAGATCCATTGTGTCCGGATCCAGAGACTGAGGAAGAGGATGAAGTCCACTGATTCTCAACACTTCACACAGCGAATCAAAGCATCCAATTCTTCCTACAACAGCAGGATATACTATAGTGAAAATCCACTTTGTTTGTTAAATGCACGTCCAGGTTTGAAGCCGGTGGTCCTGATGAAAGAGGATGCGTTATTGATCAGTCCGGTGGGGATCTGTTTCTGGTGCTCATGTCTTTACGCACTAGCCTATTAATAATTCATAACTTATAATATCCCTACAAGCAGCTAGTGTAGTATAAACAGTAAATATTGCTGTATGAATATATGGTTAAAGCGCCCAGTGCTGCTGCTGTGCGCTCCTGTGCTGTCTGTCTCTTCACTGTCCCGTTCTCACCGAACAATAGTGATGTCCGATTCGCGAACGAGCTGTTCTTTTGAATCGGTTCCTTTGAATGATTCGGACGAATCGATTCGCTTCATAGAAACAATGCATTGTCTGACTAGCGCACAGATTGGGATAAGTTAAAATCAGGTGACCTTAGGCTGGTTATAGATAAACAGTCAGACAGAACGATTGATGGATAGATGATAGACAAAACGATAGATAGATACGGTATATCCATCTATCTTTTTGTAGGCTATATAAGATACCCTATACACAGATAGAAAGATAGACAGACAGAACAAAATGGATACACTCTAAAAAAATGCTGGGTTGTTTTAACCCTATTTGGGGTCAAAAATTGACGAATTCAAACATTGGGGTAAAAAATGTAATTTAAAAATGTAACCCAATGTCCATATTTGACCCAAAATTGGGTTAAACAACCCAGCATTTTTTAGAGTGTAGATAGAGACAGAACGATAGATAGATAGTACTGTAGATAGATAGATAGATAGATAGATAGATAGATAGATAGATAGATAATAGATAGATAAGATAGATAGATAGATAGATCATTTTTTTGAGTGAAAAGCTATATTTTTCTGGATACATTTTAATATCTACTTAATTAAAAAAAGAAAAGAAATCTTAACAAAAACATAGTAATAAACACTGTGACTTAAGTACAAAAATTTGTTTCATAGTAAAAAAATAATTCGAGGAACACTTTGGGGTGATGAATCATTTGAGTCGATTCATTAAAACAACCAATTTCGGATTTCCCAACATCCCTGAACAAGTCCAGTCCATATTATGGTTCGAATAAAAGAGGAGGGCCAGGGGTCCAGACACCTGCAGGAGGTAAACAGACGCCCCCTGCCGCCTTCCCCGACAACTGGAACACAATGTATCCTGCATGGCAATTGATTTTCAGGTGGGATTAAATGGACGTGATCATAAAAACAGATTGAATCGGTTATAGGCTGAAACCGAGAATACAGTCAGCTGCGACCAAGCCTGTTATTTTTCAGTCAAAACACGTCTAATTAAGAGCACTCGGATTCTCAGCGTTTGTGTTGACCGGGTTCATTTCAATTACATGGTGGTTACACAGCTGCATAAAGAAGAGGAATTATTTTTCACACAAAAAGTGCACATTGCACCGCGACGCCTCCGTTTGGTCATTTAAAATTAAAGTGAGTCATTCACCACACTAAGAGAATAATAAATCTCTCACCTTTACTCAAAAGCAGTTTCAACGCCAATTTCCCAGCATTTCTATGACAGTTTGTGTTGACACAAAAACGTAGCAACGGCAAAGGGTTTCACTGTGGCTGGGGACCAGGAAATGTTCATGACAGCTTAATTGGCATCTAAATAATAAGACACAGCTAATTTAAAAAGCAGCATAAATTACAACATGTCTGTCGAAAGACATGAAGACTCAATTGTGCATTCTGGGCGTGACTGGTTTATTGCAAACATCGCTTAGCTAGATAACAGAGAAGCCTATGTTGTCAGAAAATATGTAATTGATACAAAACAGGTTCAACAACAAACCACAGCTTTGCAACAGGAAAATAAAATATAACCCGCAGACGAGATGCTCGGATGTTCAATAATATCAGACCCTTCTCCAGATGTTGACGGTGAGGTGCGAAAAAAAAACAAAAAAAAAAACGATTTCCCTTTCAAAGCGGATGAGTGAGAACGCGAAAGGGAGAGAGAGCAAAAAGACACGTGTATACTTTGAAAATATGGTATTTTATTGATGTGACAAATGGCATACAGTGCTGTCGGAGCTACATGGAAAATGACATTACTGACTCAAAACTCAAAAATATAAGTTTAAGACTGACGTCAGGGCGAACTGTCAAAACAAACAATATGAACATTTTGCATCTAGAAAGTGTTAAGCGGTGATGTTAAGCATGTTTCTACTAGAAATAAAGTATTTCATTATCCCATGAGTTAATCAAAAGCTGTTTTCTCTGTTTTAAATGGTTATATGCTCAACCCGGCTATCATATTAAACACCTTTGTATACAGTACATAGACTTCAGTATAAATATGTTAAATGTACAATTCAACTTTTTACAACAACAAAAAAGCCCTACAAATGTTCAAGCAGGTGGGTCAATCTTACAAAAACGGGGTCATTTCCCTCTAAAAAAAATAAATAAAAATACTTTGAAACTGGCCTGTTTTTAAGTCCTGATTTTTTTTCTCATTATTTGTATTCCTTAGATTATTTTCACATTTTTTGCAAAGAAATTTTAGTAATGCAAAGAAATTTAGTTTTCATTTCTGTATTTTGGAAATACAATACTTATAAATTATTTAAAGTAGAGATTTATTTTATGCAGTTTTTTTATTGCCCCCCCCCCAACCCTAACCTCACTTCATTTTCTATTGTCTTAATTTTCTTTATCCCCTACCCCCCAACTTTGAGTTTCACACAGATATACTGATAAAGGGAAAATTAAAACAGCTCTATCTTTAATATAATCCACACATACAATAAAACAGTATTCACGCTTAATTAGTAAATGTGTATGTATATATATATATATATATACTTACCTAACGCATTATTAGGAACACCATACTAATACTGTGTTTGACCCCCTTTCGCCTTCAGAACTGCCTTAATTCTACGTGGCATTGATTCAACAAGGTGCTGAAAGAATTCTTTAGAAATGTTAGCCCATATTGATAGGATAGCAGTTGATGGAGATTTGTGAGATGCACATCCAGGGTACGACGCTCCTGTTCCACCACATCCCAAAGATGCTCTATTGGGTTGAGATTTGGTGTCTGCGGGGGCCATTTTAGTACAGTGAACTCATTGTCATGTTCAAGAAACCAATTGGAAATGATTCGAGCTTTGTGACATGGTGCATTATCCATGTTGGAAATAGCCATCAGAGGATGTGTACATGGTTAAAGGGATGGACATGGTCAGAAACAATGCTCAGGTAGGCCGTGTCATTTAAAGATGCCCAATTGGCACTAAGGGGCCTAAAGTGTGCCAAAAAAACATCCCCCACACCATTACACCACCACCACCAGCCTGCACAGTGGTAACAAGGCATGATGGATCCATGTTCTCATTCTGTTTACACCAAATTCTGACTCTACCATCTGAATGTCTCAACAGAAATCGAGACTCATCAGACCAGGCAACATTTTTCCAGTCTTCAACTGCCCAATTTTGGTGAGCTCTTGCAAATTGTAGCCTCTTTTCCCTATTTGTAGTGGAGTCGTGGGATGAGGTCTTCTGCTGTTGTAGCCCATCCGCCTCAAGGTTGTGCGTGTTGTGGCTTCACAAATGCTTTGCTGCATACCTCGGTTGTAACGAGTGGTTATTTCAGTCAAAGTTGCTCTTCTATCAGCTTGAATCTGTCGGCTCGTTCTCCTCTGACCTCTTGCATCAACAAGGCATTTTCACCCACAGGACTGCCGCAGACTGAATGTTTTTCCCTTTTCACAGCATTCTTTGTAAACCCTAGAAATGGTTGTGCGTGAAAATCCCAGTAACTGAGCAGATTGTGAAATACTCAACCACCTCAAAATTGCTTAAATCACCTTTCTTTCCCATTCTAATATTCAGTTTGGAGTTCAAGAGATTGTCTTGACCAGGACCACACCCCTAAATGCATTGAAGAGATTGCCATGTGATTGGTTGATTAGATAATTGCATTAATGCGAAATTGAACAGGTGTTCCTAATAATCCTTTAGGTGAGTGTATATAGGTATATGGGCAGCCTTCCCAGTACCTGCAGGAGGGTGTGAATGAACTCAGGATGTGATATATTACTCTAAAATGTGCCAAACCAGATGAAGGTATTTGTAAATCCTCATTCAAAAAGTCAAAACAGCGGCACTACAAAATATGATATTAAACCACCAAAGAAATGAAGGCGGACCTCATCACACTTGTGTCTCCTTACACTACTTAGTAGCTACATAAAACCCTTTAAAACAGGCCAGAGCAAACGAATACCCAGTGTTTGAAGAACTTAATGATCATCTGAGGAGATCAGAAGACGAATGTGCAGACTTCTAAGGGCCTAGTGCAAATGCATGCGTGAATCGCTCAGTCTTTTCTAGTGTGCGTCAGACACCATCAGGCCACAGAAGGAGCTGTATTATGGGTAAAAGAGCAAGAAATAGGACAGCTGAGATGGTTGGGATGTGGGTGACTCCTTTGGCGCGCGGGTCCGGTTCGGGTTGGATTGGGATAAAGCCTTCCTGTGGTGAAATTAGTACATAGTTTTCAGTGGGCACTGTTGGAAGAAAAATGAACAAAAACATTTAAGAATTAGGTGTGAATATCACATTTAAACAAGACACTCCAATACTCCAAGAGGACAAACACTATTTTCAACTATAAAGCAAAACTTTTTAGGCATTTTGGGGGCCTGAAAACACTTTTGATGGGTTTCAACAGCGCAGTCTCATCCCAAGAAGTCATATAACTGATGTCTTGGGACGTCTTTTGACCATACGTCAACATCCGCCTTTTTAGGGTACCCTTAAACGTCGGTTAGATGACGTTATTGGATCCTAACCCTGCCCCAGACCTAAACCTACCCAGTCACCTAACCGACGTTAAAGGTAAAGCGTTTGACTTATGGTCAAAAGACATCCCAAGACGTCAGTTATATGACTTCTTGGGATGAGACTGTGTTAGTTTCAAAGTGCACGTTTTTCAAAACGACAAAAAACAAATAAATATGAATTTGTGAAAATGGTGACGTCATGCACATTACGTGTTCAGTCAATATGTGTAATAGCTGTGTCTGAAACCGCTCACTCGTTCACTCATTCACTAATCCCTATATAGTGTATGGCATTTGAGTGCACTATATCTGGAGATGAAGTGAGTGAATTCGGACGCTGACGTTTACACTGTGCGTCGGAGAGTTGGAGCTGTCGCAGAAAAGGCTTCGTCACGCGTACTGATAAAACTCCTTTTATCTTACATTACCTAGTTTATAAAATAATATTAACAACAATAACAATCATAATGACTTTATTTTGTAATTATACCTCCGTGCCAGCTTTGTAGTTTCATCGACTGAAATTGTACATTAACTCTCACGTTCACAGATGACGTGTCGTCGAGCGCCCTCCGGCGACCGTTATTATGTTCAAAACGACGATTAACGGATATTTTTCAAATCCTCCACTGGATGTAATGTAATCTCTGGTTTAAACTTGCTCGCGCCGAACTTTCATGCGCGCTCAGTTCTCTCCGCATTGGATTGTGGGAAATAGGGCTTCAGCGAGTGTACATCGAATGTACACTCGAATTCAGAGAGGATTGTGGGTAAAAGTAGTGAATGAATGTAGGGAATGATGTCGTTCACTCAGAATTCGGACACCACTACAAAATGGCCGACACCCGATATAGTGCACTATTTAGTGGATAGGGAGCGATTTCAGACACAGCTAATGTTTCTATTCAAAGTGAGATCGCCAACTACTGGCCAGAGATGAATAATACAACGTTTAATCATATTCAAGGATCCGCGTGAACAACAGGAATCGTTTTGACAACCTATAGTCGGATTGTTTTCGAAAAAAAAGGATTGTTTTTCTGAAACAATTTAATTGGATGATCATCTTATTTTTGGAAGATAATAGAACAATAAACGTACTAGTTTGAGATGGTTCAGAGAACATTTAAAGTTAATTTCCCATAATGTTTCAATCACTATTGACCAAGAAAAACATCTTTTGAATGTTCAGAGAGCATAGAGTTTTCATAACTTAACCCTTATGCTGCATTAGGGACATTTTTGGTCTTTTGCAGTTTAATTTCTTTGACCATTTTGGCTGTTTTAATGCAAATGGTATGAAATTTGGCAAAATTGTGACTTTTTGGATACATGTATAAAAATGTGATCCCATTTTGCAAAATATGTATAACACACACTGTGTAGATCAAATAGTAACACTCAGCACCATAAAGACCAAAAATGGCCCATTGAAACCCATTAAAACGTTGTTTAAATCTGAGGCTGTCAGTAATACATGAAACATGATTTTTGCACAAACATCCTTTCATTTTGAAGCAAAAGCATTATATTTGCATTATATAGTGTATTCCACCAGATGACGTCACTACATATTTATTGCCTATGGGTGGAAATGCACCTTATTTTAGGCAATAGGCAATGTTTAATAGGTGGCCATTTTTGGTCTCTAACGCGCTAAGTGGGATTTTTTGCAAAGTGGGACTGTGATAATCCAAATCTAAAGTTTTCTCTTTGCATTTAGTTTATTGAAAATAATTGAATTTTTGTGTTTTTTCCTCTTATACAAATCGATGGTTTCGCAAACAAAACTGGTAATTAAAGGGTTAAAATCCTGAAATTGAATACATTTTTGGTAGTTATGATGAGGACTGATGCTGGTTAAAAGATTTAACTTGGTAAAAGTGGAAAATAATAATAATAATATATAATATTTATGGCAATGTTTAATATGTGGCCATTTTTGGTCCTTAATGCACTCAACGGTGTTAAAAATCTAATGCAGCACAAGGGTTAATGGGAACATTAGCAAAATGTTTTGGGGAACCAAAAATGGTTCTTCAATGGCATTGCTACGAAATCCCCTTTTTGAAACTTGATTTTTTTTAGAGTGTACAATAAGAAGCCAAACATCCAACAAAAGAAACAGCAAATCCGATTTGGTTACAGTGACAAATGCGCATTTGCGCAAATACGCACACGCACAATAACGTTCTCGGTTGAACATATGTGCATTGCGCAGCAGATGAGCAGGGCCATACATCAGCGCCAGGCTACGAGCCGAGAGCCGCACCAATCGCAGACACAAACCAACAGACGGCAACACATTAACGTGTCACAGTGAAATGATGCATAGTGTCCATACGGACACAAACGAATGACTTCACGCGAGGATGTCTCGGCAAAAACAAACACATCACGGTCTGATGTTTCAGAGGCATCCGCTTACCTAATTTTGCAACCACAAATTTGACCCAGACGCAACAAGGCAGGGCGAGACGAAAACAACAGTCACACCTTTTCACAATGAAATCCAACCTGAGATTCTCAAACAATAGCCATTGTGTCGTTCACACAATACACAAAGGGTTCATTTATTCACAATCATGAGGAGATCTCTTCATGCCAATTAAAGCAGTAAATGGATCCAATTCGTATTAGACCAGAGAGCAAACGCCCGCGGGCTGCTTGGCATTGACAGGAGACATGTGTAGGAATGATCACATATGCTGTATGAATATCATGATAAATATGCAGAAGTCGTGTGAAACTGAGGATTCCCGCTGACGCTGAATGTGAGAATGTTGGAGGATCTACTTATTTAGCATATTATATTTTCCGTTTCCGCTGGACACAGCATTGGCAAGCCGCTATGGTGTTTATAGTTTTAAAAAGAAAACGAATGTATTTTATTGATTTAATCTCTACTGTATGTTTGAATATAGAAAAATGAGAAATGTGCTGAATTTTAGATTTTTTTGCTGTCCAAATCGATAATTTAGTTTTTTTTATTTTACGTTGAACCAGTACATTCCCTGAGAACATTTAAAACATTTACATTTACAATTATTTGCATATATATATATATATAAATGCAAATAATTGTAAAACAAATATTTCTAAATACTTAAAAATGTGTAAGTAAATGTGTGTGTGTGTGTGTGTGTGTGTGTGTGTGTGTATATATATATATATATATTGTGTATTATATTTAGCTGAGAGAATGTTTTCAGGGAATGTACTGGTTCAACTGGTTCGAATTATTTGCATATGTATATATATATATATATATATATATGCAAATAATTGTACAACATAAACATATAAATGAAATATTTCTAAATACATAAATGTTTAAAAATGTGTAAATAAATATGCATACATACTGTACAGTATATAAAAAGTTAATTTAAAATATAATTTATAATGTATAATCAAAAGTAATTTATAAATAAATAAAACACACAATATTACATAAACAAATTACATTTTTATAAATATGTTAATATTAATAAAAAATATTAAATAAATGATTAACTAATTTATGTAAGTAAATAATACAAGATAATGCTATAATAGTATTATACTACAATGATACTGTATTCTCAACAGGAATCCACTGGTAATTTAAAAACATTCACTTTTAGATTAGTGAGACAAATTTAGACATTATTAGCTACAACTGTGTACATACATTTATTTTAGTAGGTCAAACCCCCATAAAAACAAAAAAACAAAAAACATAAGTAACTTCTGAAAATAAAAGTTAAGGACACAACCATTCAAAAGTTTGGGGTCAGTGAAATTTTAAAACAATACTAAAGAAATGCTTTAAAAAAGATTTTTATTTCAAATACTATCATTTTTTTTTAAATCACGGTTTCCAAAAAACTATGAAGCTTTCAACATTGATAATGGTAATGTTTCTTGAGCATCAAATCAGCATATTAGAATGATTTCTGAAGGATCATGTGACTCTGAAGACTAGAACAATGATTAAAAAAATTCAATTTGAAAATATATTCAAATAGAAACAAACCTGTATGAGGTTATACTTACATATACTTACATATACATTATACTTAGATGGTCTGTTCCTTTATTGGTGGTTCTTGGACCAGAAGTTATGCTGAAAGTCATAAAATCTGACAGACGTCTTTATAGCTATATATATCACCTTTAAAATTTTGATTAGATGGATATGAAATATGTATACAGAGTATGCCAACATGAACTAACATCACAACGTATCTAGACTCATAACAGCTTTGACATGTGGCCACTCATTCATAAGACAAAGGCAAACGGCATAATTCCACCTCCGTAAAACCATGTTTGCCTTCTGTCTATCAAACACACAGATGAAGCATGACCACACATGACAGGAAGAATGATTGCGTTTTAACTCTTTCACACGAATCTCTAGCTGTTGCTGGAACAAGCCTCCGCAGGTCACATGGCAGAGATCTGAAACTAGACGGCGGAAAGCCACCGTACTGAACGCCTCACAGAACAGACCCAACAGACTGAATACATTATCATGACAGTGAAGTGTGCTCTGGCCTAGTTTTGCCAACTTCCAGCTGAGAAAAAAAATGACGAACGAGAATTTTTTTTTTTACTTGCCCTTAACTTATTTTGCATTTCAAAAGACAAAAGATTCTACAACTTTTACAGCTGAAGTTTATCTCAACAAATAATTACTGCTAAATAATATAACTTCCAATAGATTCATGACTGCTTCT